GGGGGGGGGGGGATTAACGTTTTTTATAGGCAAATCGTGAGCATGATTTAATCGAATGCCGCTCGACAAAGACTGGCGAAAAAAGGTTTGAGTACAGTTGTAGGCCTTATTCGAAAACTTTTCGCCGGCAGTGTACATATACATAAATGCTACCACGCGATATGTTGATCATATGTACTCGCCCGCATCACGCAACTTTCAGTCAAGTCATTATTTTCAAAGGGATATACTATGTATATTAATGTCCTATTAGGGATATATGCATATGTATACGTGTATATCTATTCGCCATGATGCCAACCCTTGAGAAGCTAAACCTTAACTTAACTTGCTTAACTTAACTTTTGAATTCTGGACACATTATCTCTCTATCACTGCAAACTTCTTCTATTATTTCTTCTCTTTTACGAAATACTTCGATGTTCTACTCGGGCCATTTTTTACCCCTCGAAAGAACTGTGGTATACGTTCTACTTTGCTTCTTATTTTTTTCTTTTGTTCTTCCGTATCCGTCTACATAGCTCTTGTAGTCACGAGTCACCCCAGTTCACTCTGTCTTTTTCGTATGGTAAAGCTTTCATTATTCATGCCGTCTCTTTATTACCCACGGAGTCATGCTCGGTGAAAACGTCGTCACCCTATATATAAGACTTTACCAAGAAATGCCCTGTCGTCAAATGTAATAAGAAATCTTAAATCGTCTTTTTAAATATCAAACGGAATAAATGATGGACACGTGAAAAATCTTAAGGTATAATCCCTAGTGGAAATTTATTCCGGCGGGAATCCGGGCCGTATCAGGCTGTCCCTAACTGATAATCCGGCCCAGATCATGCCGCTCTTCCGACCCTGATGTGGCATGTAACGGCATTTCTGATCCGGCACTGATCAGGCTACTGATCGGGCCCACATTAGGGAACATATGTGGTCCTGATCATGCCCTGATTGGTATTATATCCCGTTGCCTGATATTGATATACATTAGATATACATATGTATAGACGTTGAAATGACAAACAGGTAACATTTTTTGAAAATATCGTAGGTAGTGGAGTAATTCAGTGTGACGTATTAGGCCTTGCTTTCAAGGGGTAGGAGAATTTCTGCAAATTATAAATTAGTTTGTTGATTCTAAAAAATTGTATATAGAAGCAGTGCGATGGATTGGACTACTAGGGATTTCACACCTAATACGGCAGCTCTGACTAACGCCTGACTACGACCAAGTCAGATTTTCCATAGTAGGGCTTGCCATGAAATTGCCTGATACGGGCCAAGTCAGGCATTCCGTAATAGGGCTAGCTGTGACATTGCCTAATGAGGGCCTGATCCTGGTCAGAATCTATATTTCAGGCTGATCACATTTACAAATATTGTACTGATGCATGATCAGGGCAGGATCTGGGCCTCATCCGGCTATCCTGATCAGGCATGCCATACCGATACCTGATCCGAACCAGATACGCCATCAGGCAGCCTGAACAAATTTTTGCTAGGGAGACTCTCGCTAAGTGAACATTTTTCGAGGCGCAGGGAAACACTTTTCAAACTGTCATCGGAGCAGATTTTCATGATAATCTGACCGCGTGAGAAGGCCTTGGCAAGGACGTTTATTATACACGTACACGCGATCATTCCCATGTTTCCTTTGTTTCGTTTCCCCTCGGATTTACTGCATTTACGACTTCTCGCCCCATTTAGGATGATCGTTTGGGCGTTCTTAAGCGGATACCAGTTAAGAATTTTATTTTCGTCGGAATACGACGCGACCTTATTCGCCTTCTTGGAGATACAATACAATGGCAAATTCGACGCGATAGACGAAGAATAAATGTATAACGTAAATGTATTTGTCCGCAACGGTGAATGGGATTTATTTTAAAAAATAAGGAGGCAATATAAATTATCATTACGAGATCTCATTTACCGATCGACGAAAATGGGGTTAGATTTTTTCGTCGCGTTTCTGAACGACATCGACGAGTTCAATTCAAAAATTTTGGATTTGGTTCGACGAATTAAAAATTAGATCGCGAGATGATATCACCATGAACCGTGTCACGAGTAGCGGGAATAATAGGATTTTCAATATTGCCGGGAGAAAGATTTCACTTTGGATGCGATACTTGGAAAAGTTTAATCGGATCTCTCTCTTTTCCGGCTGGTTGACACTAACTAGCAAGTATCTTAATGAGAGACTGATAATCTGATTAAAGAATTATGTAACATTATCAATATCAAAATAAGATTTCCGACTGTTGTAACGTGCAACAGTGCGACAAAATCGACTTTAGTTGCAAAGCAGATTTACCATTTGATCTTGTCAAGAGAAAAATTAAGAGAGAGCATCTAAGATGAATTTTCCAAGGGAAGCTGCACCTCAATAAGCGAAACAGTGATTCAACGAGATAGTACAGCTTGGGCGCGAAACGGTCAGGAAGGAAGTAATATGAGGAGGGGCACGCGGGGGTAAGGTCGAAAAGGGGGAACTTTCGTTGGGTCTTGAATTTTCAAGTAGATCCGTGACGCGGTGCTGCGTTCTGGAATTAAATTAATTAAGCTAGATTATCTGGACGGATGTAAAAACTTCAATACGCCGCGTGGGCAACGAACTTTCTCTTTAGAGCCTTCGGGGGCTTGAACCTTCCGCAATCCCACCCTTCTCGTT